CGAAGAAGCCAGCAGGAGAATAGTCAGAAACGTGATGCGCATGGCCGACATGGTGCACTGCCTTCAAGATCCACGATTGATCAGGCACAAAGGGGGCTGCTTCGTTGACTCGAACGGCTGCGCAACACAGAACTTCTACTGGAGGCCTCCCAAAAGCGGCCAGGGAAGGTGGGAACGGAGGATCACACCACATCGCCAATGCATCGGCAATGCGGCGTGATCCTGCGACCCCATCTGCACTGGCCCAGATTTGGAGGCCTCCATGAGATAAGGGAGACGGGAAGAAGGAGGAGGAGGAGGAGGAGGACAGGGACAAGGAAGAGCAGCAGCAGGAGAAGCAGCAGCCGGAGGAGCAGCAAGAGGAGGAGCATGAGAAGAAGGAGCAGGAGGAGGCCATGATCGACAGAACCAGTGCACCAAAAAACTGCAGCAGGTGCACTGGACGATTCAAAACTCGGGCTGTGAGCGCGCGGGGGAACGGGACACGGGGCAGGCGCGGAGCGGAACTGGCGAACGGAAGGAGGATCAAGAGAAGGGCTCCGACGGACGACGCGCACGGGGGAGGGGAGCCAACCATGTGCGACACTTCAGGACTTCGTCGGCACGAGGGGGACGCACCATCGACACGCCCAGACCATCCGCCCCCCGCGACCAACCGCCAGTAGGTACCCGCGCCCCTGGCTACAGCAGGTTCGCATCGCGATGGCCTCGGCGCTGGCTTCTGACACCGCGTGGATCCATCGACCTCGAGCGGTCGCAGCTTTTTGGTAGTGCAGATCGTTTGACATCGGGAAACTCTGGGCCGAGGAGGCGTTCAACATTGAACACCCGAGCTGGGATCGTCGCCGCGTCGACGCGGCGAGAACCCTCCGAAGTCTGAACGGCTGGTAGAGCTAGAGAGCGACGACTGGGGGACTGAGGAGAGCAGAGCTAGAAGAGTGGGGTACTCCGCTGAAGAAGGGAGGCTTGTCTTTCTTCCGTTGCCGAACGCCAGACCCACCGGCCCTGGAAGCATCGCTTCAAGGACACCAAACAATGTCTCCTCAGACTGTGCGCGCCTACGGACACGTGTAAGATAAGGCATCCTCGCTCCCACGGCCACGATAGCCAATGAGATCCGGCAGATCCTAGCCCCCAGAGGGTAACAATCGTTCACGGGTGCCGAAGGAGGAGCGCCGCATGTGGCACGATCAAAATGAAGGGTGAACCGTCATGCGGCGAGTCACAATATACCAACGCGTTCGCCAGGGCTATAGGTGGAGTTTCCCATGGGACACGGTCCGCGTGAGGTGTGTGACGAATAGAAATGGAACAATACAGGATCGTGCCTATTAGGGCTGTAGACGAAGCTCCCCTGTACCGCACGAAGCGCGTGAAGTGTGTGCCGAATTAATGCGGGACATTATATCACAGCGCCCGCTAGGGCCGCAGGTTGCGCTCCCAGAAGGGGGCAATCCACGTAAATGTGTGCCGCGGACAAGCTAGGACAGCATAGAAACTCGATCACTGGCTCCCTGCGTGGAGCGCCTTTCCTGGCACGATCCAAATGAACCCTGTGCCGAAATCGACTGGTGGACGCGACGGAAAAGCGCCTGTTGGCGACATAAATGGAATCTTCTTGGGAGCACGATCAGTGCGAGGGTTGTGCCAAACTGAGTGGGGAACGCTGCTAGAACGCGGTCACTGGCGCCGCAAGTGGAACTCAATTTTGGGTACCATCCGTATGAGGCATGTGCCGGCACGTGCAAGGGGAAATCTTGGAAGCGTTCCCTGGCGTTCTAGGCAGAGCTCCCTACAGGGCACGATCCGCGTGAGACGTGTCGCGAAACGATCGGAAGAAATGAGGCCATAGGTTGAGGTTTCTACTGGGCGCGATCTGTATGGCGGGTGTCCCAAAATATGCGGGGGGACGCTACGGCCATAGTCCTACCATAAGCAAGGCTGAACAAGAAAGGAAAGGTTTTTTCTGGCCGTGCAGGGCCTGGACCACGAATAGGTCCCCCGACCTAGATGGAAGAAAAGGCCACCTGATCCTCCTTACCTTGTCTGCCCTGTCTACGCATCCTCCTCCCCCACTGTCCTCAATCATCCTAACCCCTTCTCACGATCCGCATCCTAGCTGCTAGTCGCCCTGCCACATCATCCTCCTCCTCCTTTTCCTCCTCCTCCCGCTCCTCTTTGCCACTGATCTCCCTGTGATTATCCACGTCCGAATCCTGGGCCCATATTCACAAACTCTCTACACACTTTCTACATTCCACATGCAGTGTGTGGGCTCAAGACCTATCATCTTGAGGATTACATAACCAGATTATGTTGTTTGGAGGCTCGAGTCCGTAGGTTAGATGTTCGAAATTCCATGTGTAAGTAGGCTCCATGTCCAATGTTCGATATTGAATTTCATGTGTATAAGCTTCGAATTTGGAAGTTTGATTGTTAATGAGCTTCAATTTTGAAGCCTCGATATTGAAGATTGGCTTCAAGAGGTTCAATGTTCGAAGTTCGATGTTTAAGGCGGTTCGGTTTTCAAGGCTCAACTTCTGGAGGTCGGTGTTGGATTAAAGATGTTTGACGTTCGTATCTCATGTCCAGATCGAGATGGTCAGACGCCGATGTCATTCGTGCTATACGTATGATGTTCGCTCCCAGCGTTCAGTTTCGACACGCGTACCCACATTCCACATAGACGATTCGAGTCGGGAAATCGATCGTGTCATCATCTTTGCGCTCCTGCTCCAATCGTAGTTCTCCAAATTGGCTTGCCCTATAGGAGTTCTAACTCAAACCCTACTAATTGGTCAGTTGCTCCCCCCCCTAATTCCTATGCCCCCCCACCCCCCCAATTCCTATGGCTATATCTATGCCTATGCCTATGCCTATGCCTCCCCCCTAACTCCTATGCCGATTCTCCAAACAGGCTTGCCCTACAGGAGTCCTAGCTCATCAGAAGTAATGTGTCTTTAGCACCCCCCCTCCTTTTTCCAATGGCACCCCTCCCATTCTCCAACGCCCCCCCTTTTCCAATGGCACTTGCTTGCTTGCTCTAACGCGCTCGCTCCGGCTTGCTTGCTCTTGCTTGCTCTTGCTTGCTTGTTATTGCTCGCTTGCGTTTGCTTTCTTCCGCTTGCTTGCTTGCGCTGGATTGATTTTGCTGCTCCCGTCCTCCTCCCGTCCTGCTCCCGCCCTCCTCTCGTCCTCCTCCCATCCCCCTCCCGTCCTCCTCCTGTCCTCCTATCCAGTTGGAGTCAACGCTGGCTGATATCCTCATCCGTATCCTCCGTCATGTGTCCCACGTTTCTCACTTATGTGCATTTCACCCTGTCCTCCTCTTTTCCCCCCTCCACCATTCCCCCCCGAGCCCCCTCCTCCTCCAACGCGACCAGCGGCAGTAATGCCCGCGGTGGAAATGGCAGAGGCGAAGGAGGAGCAGGAAAAGGAGACGAGGAGGTAGAGTGTCGCAGCAGCAGGCACACAAGAGGAGGCGGGAGGGAACGGCGAGATGGCGAGAGAGAATCGAGGCGAGAGAGGGAGATGGAGAGAGAGAGAGGGAGAGAATGAAAAAAAACGGGAAGAGGGAAAGCGAGAGGGAGAGGGAGACGGAGAGAGGGAGGGAGAGGGAGAGCGAGGTAGGGCTGGACACAGAGCCCGTAGGATGGAGAAGAAGAAGACAGTGCGAGTCGAGAGCCGTTACCGAATCCACATCTCGGCTCCGTGTGAGCTCGCCATCGCCGCGTCTATTGCTGCTGTCTGTGCCGTCCATTGGACCGACGTCGCTCCTATGTCGTCGCAGCGTTGCCGCCCCCTCGCGGCTGGAAGATCTCCATGATCGATGTCACCGACCAGGGTCTGCTTGGCCATCACGCCATGGAAAACGTGTATATTTCCTGTACAAAACATGTGTATGTATACATACACCCATACATACGTACACACATACATACATACCTACATACATACATACATGCATGCATGCATGCATGCATGCATACATACATACATACAGGCAGGCAGGCAGACATGCATGCATGCATGCATACATGCATGCATACATACACACACATACATATATACATACATACATACATACATACCTACATACATACATACATACATATATACATACATACATACATACATACATACATGCATACATACATACATACGTACGTATGCATATGCATATACATATACGTATACATAGACATATAGATATGTATATATATACATAAACATATACATATACATAGACGTGTATATATACATAGACATATACATATACGTATACATACATGCATTCATACATACCTACATACCTACACACATACATACATGCATCCATACACATATGTATTCATACATGCATGCATACATACACGCATATGTGCGTGCATACATACATACATGCATACATGCATGCATACATGCATACATACATGCATACATGCGTACGTATATATATACGGGCATATATACATACATACATACATACATACATACATACATACATACATACATACATACATACATACATACATACATACATACATACATACATATGTGTGTATACAAACATGCATGCATACATACATACATACACGCATGCATGCGTGCATGCCTGCATACATACGTACATACGTGCGTACATACATACATACACTAGAACCACGCGCGCGCTTCGCGCGCGCTTAGGTTCTGTCGAGTCACAAACCCAGGAGTCGTTGCGAGAAGAAGTTGGTGACGCGAAGCGTCTTGGGGGCGCCCTTGGACGTCCGGGGTCTCCTGGGGGGCCTCCTTGGGGCCTTCTTGGGCTCCATCTGGAAGCCAAGATGGATGCAACAAGAGGGTGCTTGGGCTCTCCGTGAGCTATCCTCTGGTTTTCATTCCCCTGGAGAGGAGAAGGAGGAGGAGGAGGAGGAGGAGGAGGAGGAGGAGGATGAGAAGGAGGAGGAGGAGGAAGATGCAGAGGAGGGAGGAGGAGGAAGGAGAGGAGATGTTGGGGCGCTCTTGGGGCCCTCTTGGGCTCTCTTGGGGCTCGTCGGGGCCCTCGTGGG